CTTGAGTTTCCATAAAAACAGAACCTTCCATCTCAGAAGAAGGGATATCAACAAGAGGACTTGACTCCTCTGTTTCCAAATGCAGTGATTTCTCCTGTTCATAGATCAGGTTTGAACTGTCTTTCATTTGAATCTCCCGCTCTTCCAATTCCAAAGGTTTATCTGAGGCTGCAGCTACAACTTCATCTTCATTTTCATGTAGGAAGCTACAAATCATGTTAGGTCTGTAGGAGAAATCATTATCCTTCATTTGTAGCCATTCTACTCCACCTAATTAGGCAGGGATAGGGGACAGGCCAAGAAAGAAACATGAAAAAGAAATTTTAGTTGTCCGTTTTTCTTTAAATTTTCAACCAATGAATATGTCAAAGCAAAACCCCAAAATAAACCAAATATAAATATCAATAAAATAATTATGTAATTTTCCTTTTCCACGGAGGCCTTGGAATGGAGTATATATCATCACAATCACTATAAGCAATTAACTTCAATTACTGTTCCATGCCTCTTTTCCAGTTAAATTCTTTTTTTTTAAAGAGTTTCTTTTTTTTTCTTTTTTATTTATTTTTTAGTTGTAGGTGGACATAATGTCTTTTTTTCATTTTTATGTGGTGCTGATATAAAGATATTGTGGACACAATATCTTTATTTCATTTTATGTGCCTCACATGTGTTAGGAGAGCACTCTACCACTGAGCCATAACCCCAGCCACTCCAGTTAAATTCTTGACTCATTCTGAGAAACTAAGTTCTCACTGGCTTTTCATGCCTTAAAGAAAACGGTTACTTCCCTCCAATTTTAATATATGATATTACTATATTACCTTCCAAGTCAGGACTTTCATATCATTTTTTCTTTCCTTTCCCCTCCCTCTTTCTTGCTTTCTTTGTAGTGGTGGAGTTGGGTGCTAGGGATTGAACCAATGGCCTTGCATATGCTAAACACATGCTCTATCAGTGAGCTATACTCCCAACCCTCTCATTCTCATTTCTTAATTTTTAATTTGTTCTAATTAGTTATACATATATAATTAGTTCTAATTAGTTATAAAATTATGAGAATGCACCATTCTCATAATTTTATGAGTTGGAACATGCAATTGTGAATGAAATAAGAAAGGTCTCAAACAAAAAAATCACCCTGAAACCAATTTTGCTCCTTTCCACACTCATAGGCAAAGCCCTCACCTCTCAATTAAGCCCCCACAATCAAAGTCTGTTCCAATAATGCCAGTCATTTTCTTTCCCCCTCTTGTCCTTTAAGAATCCACTGAATTCCATTAGATATCTGCAAAATCACAGGAAGTCCCTAAATCAGAACCACCTACCTCTATTCTTCCTAAATTCCTGATTACTGAATGTAAGATACTAGTTCTGTTGCTTTAAGCCATCAAATTTAGGAGTATTTGTTATGCAGCAATTGAGAGAGTATAGACTTGCAGATGGTTGTTAATTTATTTAACTGAACATAACATCCATATCTTCCCAAAGAACTAGATTAATAATCTAATAGTGAATACCATGAGAAGAAATTCTGAATTTCCTTTAATAAGAAAATATAAATAATAGCTAAGCTTATGATATGTCTTTCCCTTTCAAGCTCATTCTTGAACCTAGCACTTTCTTCCTATTATTTTTAACAGGACACATGAAAAAGGAATAGTTTGGGGATATACACAATAAGAATAAAGGTTTCTATGTAATTGTGTATAGGGTGGTGCACTTACTTTCTATATGATCGATATATCTTCAAATATTTATTTCTTGCCTAAAACAATAAATCTAATAAGCCATGTGAGTAGCATCTAATTGACTAGAATATCAAATATGTTGTTGAACAATGAAGT